CCTTCACAATATGTTTGTCCAAAAAAAGAAACATTTTTGTCATATTCTTCCTTACCAAAAAAAAAAACGTGTTTTGGGTGGGACTGGAGCATGTGAACACTTATGTGTTTCGGCAGCTTGGCAGTTCAACACTGTTGAAGTCCTCCGCTGCTTCTATACCTGAAAATCCCAAGGTTGTTTCCTCGGGGTAAACACTCCGACGCTCAAGTCAGCAACACTCAATGTTCTAGAGAGAGATGCTCTCAAGGAGTAATTGCAGAGAGAGAAGCGTAGAGATTAATTACCTCCATCAAAGGTAGTTGGGGGGTATTTATAGCCCCTTGGTGCTGACGCACATCTGCACGTGCAAGCATCCCCTTGGCCCATGTGGCGCTGGTCACATGGGTATGCTTGTACTGATGCTCCTTCAGCTTGGGCTAATTGGTGGTATACTAGGCCCGTTATGCCCAGCCCTGTTTGGGTGTTGGGCCTGTCGGGCCTATTCCAACATTACTCCCCCCCCCGGTGTTCGGTTGACGAACTGGGATGCATGTGACCGTAGGTCAACGCCCTAGCTGGCAACTATGACGGACAGCTTTCACAACTTACGGCCGACCTTGTCGATGGCCGAGCTGAAAGGTAGTACGAAAAAAAGGTGGGAGCCCGCAAATCTGAGAGCATGGAGGCGAGCTGAGATCCTTAGCCGAACTAGTATGGGCTAGTTATGGTGGTGAGCTGAGATGGTTTACCCTAGATGAGCTCGCATAGGGAGTGGCCATGTACATAACGTGACCGCCGGAGGGTGTGTGGCGACCTAACCCCTGATTATTTTCGGAGTGCGACTAGATGATGCCTTTTTGTCATGACAGCGAGCTGAAATTTTGGAGGCAACACGGGTAGTGCTGTTAAATAGGGCGATCCTAGGTACACCTTGGTCTGTGACGAGCTGAATCTTGGGGAGATTTTAGTAAACAATCTACAATTGTAAACGAATTGGCACGGGCAGGCCGACCTGGCAAATATGTCATATTTGTGACGACCTGGAAAGTGTGCTCGCAACGGCGAGCTGATTGTGACGAGATAGGTTACACGTCAGCCGTTACGATCTGAATCTTGTGGATTTTGAAAATCCACCAAATCTCTGAGGAGATACGGTTAAAATCCACCAAATCTCTGAGGAGATACGGTTGATCTCCCCGTGTCCCTCTGTCTTCCCCGTCATAAATGCTGGCTCAGCATTTGAGGGATGTGACAGCTAAAGCCGGCGCACGTTATGCAGAAGGGACGTTAAGCGTGTGCCACGTGTAGGACGCGAATTGGCGCATCAGAGACACGCGTACAGCCATTAAGACTGGCATATTTCCCTTGCGTAACCGTTTCTTTTTCCATTTTCACTTTTGAGTTTACTTGAAACCTTCTGAAACTTCTCTGAAGCGAGGCAACTCCGATCTTGAAGAACAGAACGTCGAACCAGCTTCACGTCATTTTCAGGTAAAATGGTTTCATTGAGAGAACTTACAGAGCAACGAGGTAACCAGGGTAGAGAGGGAGAAGAGGAAGGGGTTTTGTCAGTGGAGCCTATCACGATGATAGTGCCACCTGAGTTGCAGGATTCACCAGAAACAATGGTGCCTGAGGGGAGCGCCAGTTCGAGCGCTAGGGATGACGGTGGCGACGACCATGTTGCACCATCGAGCAACTCGTCAGAAAAGACACCCAGCCACGAGGAAGGGATGGGGGATGTGGTTAGCCATGTCTCAGATCGGCCCATGATTGGTGACTGGGAGAGCAGGACAATCACGGGCAAGTTGGACAACCTACGAAAGGCGCCAAAAGACCTACCCACTGGATTTAGGTTCCGGGCCGCGCTTCATCATGAAGTAGCGGACTGCACGCCCTCAATCAGTGGGTATAGAAAATTGGAGGATATGGTGAGGGCGTATCATATTCCCCGGACAATACTGTTACGAGCAGGCGCACCAAATGAGAGGGCTTGCACGGTGTCACAGACGGGCTAGATCCCAGTGTATGTGGACCACTTCTACGCCGGCCTGCGGTTTCCCCTGCCCGGATTGGTGTTCGACCTGCTGGCGGATTACGAGCTGGCGCTGACGCAGCTGACGCCCAACAGCATAAGGTTCATCATTGGCTTTATGTTGTTGTGTGAACGATTAGAAGTACCGGCCAAGGTGATCGTGTTGAGGTCGCTGTTTCAATGCCGGCTGTGTCCCAACTCAAGAGGAGCGAAGTGGTACTACCTCTCTTGGAGGGATAAGAGCCAGCTCTTCAAAAATGTGAGGAACAAGGTGGCGAGGTGGAAGAGACAGTTTATTTTTGTTCGCAACACACGAGCAGAAAGAATAAGCAACGACCTCGCTGCCCAGCTGTCTGAGTGGCGCACCCCTAACGCTCATATTAACTATCCTCAGCTACTGCCCCGGGATGTCGATCTGAAGAACCAACTGCTCGATTATGCGCAAAGGGAGGGTCTAATAGATCTAGAAACCCTGGTTACCTCGGAGCATCTCGCCATGTTCAGGTTTGTCGATGTGACAAACCTGTTCAGCGAAGGTATATTTTTATCATATATCATTGATTCTAGCCGAGCTGAGGCTTATGTATTTGTTTGTGCAAGTGAAATGAGCAGCATCTTGGAACGCCAGCGTCAACGAGCCCAGAGTTCGCGAGGCCGTGGGGCGAGCAGCACCTCGCAGAGGCAAACGCGGTTCGACGAGCGGCCGCCTACAGCGCCTCAATCGCGCAGCTCGTCCCATCGAGGGTCCAGCTAGGCTTCTAGGCCGCAAGCTGAGCATAGGGTTGAGGCGGCAGCTCCCAGTGCCCGTAGGCGTGCGCGCGAGGAGACGGAGAGCGAGGAAGATGAGGTCCCCCTTGCTCGGCGCAGAATAAGCGGGGGGACTCAGCCTGCGCAGGCGGCCCGTCCCACAACCGTGCGTTCACCCACTGTACCGCCAGCGACTGCGCGAGCAGCAGTAGAGCCCGCCTCTACCTCGGCTTCAACATCGGGCCCCAGGATCGCTTATCCTGAGGGCTTCAGCTATGTGCGTGCGGAGTGTCAGCCCGCCATGGTGCAAGCCATGCGCAGCTTTGTGCCTCCGTCGGATAGTCGGCGGGCTAAGGCTTTTGTGCAGCAGCATGGCGGCCAGGTCGCCATGATCAAATTGATGGATGTAAGTATTTGCTCGTGCTTGCTTACGCGTTTTATTTTTCCTTACTAGATACTCACTATTGTTGCTGTTTGGCAAGCATTCAGCTACGTTGTAGCGCTTTACGAGAGCGAGCAGGAGGCTCGTACGCAGAACAGCGAGCTCGGTTCAAAATGCAAGCAACTGGCTGCTGAGAAGGCTAGCCTTGTGGACGACGTGAATCGTCTGCAAGGTTCAGAAATGGCGAACCGGGCAGCGGCTGCAGAGAGCCGGGCAGATGAGCTCGCCAACAGAAACAATGAGCTCATGGAGGAATTGGAGCACGCCCGTGCTGAGAAAGAGAGCGGGATCCAGGCGGCTAGGGAGGAAACTGCCCGGGTTGCAGAGCGGGCCAAGAAGGCTGAGTCAACAAGGACCTTGCTCAGCACGAGCTGAGCTCCCTTAGGCATCAGGTCGCCGAAGCCGACCGGAACCTTACTGCTGCCGGGGAGGCGCTGAGCGAGCTGAAGATTTCCCATGCACGCGCTGTCGGCATCGCCCGAGCTCAAGGCGCAGAATGGTTGGTGGGTTCGGCTGCGTTTCAGGACGCCGTGGCGGTGGCGTCTGCAAATGTAACCACGGAAATCTACAACGAGATCCGTGGGAAGGTGCTGCGACATCGCTCAGACTTCCCGATTGGCGAGCTAGCGTTCTTTGACAGGGA